CAACAACACCAACAACCACTACTACTACGCTATCTACTACAACTCGAGCGCCTAACACATTTTGCGCTGAAATCGGGCAGACGGGCAATTTCAGACCCGATGGGGACACAACGTGTGCCGTGTAAGTATTTATTTGCAGATATTGCGATTTATGCTTAACTGTTGACCTAATTTGACCGAGTTTTCTTACCCAACTGGTTAGGGGGGCAATTCTGGCCATTGACTTTTAACTCACCACAATCTTTCGAAGGACAGAAGTATATAAATTTTTCTTTTTAAATTAAAAATCTAAAGAAAATTAAATTTAAAAAAAAAAATTTATGAAAGCAAAAAAAAAATTAAAAAAAATAAAAATTCTACAAATTCTTGAAATAAAAAAACAATACTTTTAAAGAAATAACATCTGCTAGTTAAACGAACATTTAAACGAGAAAAAAGATTAATTAAAAAAAAATTTCAAATTTTTCCAGACATCAAATGAAATATTTTTTTTTTCAAACAATATTAAAAGAAAATTTAATTTAAAAAATAAGTTTATACAATTAAATTAAGTCAAGAAAAGGTTTAATTTTAAAACAATAAAATCTAAAAATTAAATTCAAAGAGAAAAAAAATTAATTAAAAAAAAAAATCATGAATAAGTTTCTAAAAATTAAATAACATTTGAAACTATATTTTTTTAACAATAAAATCTAAAAATTAAGGGGAAATCAAATTAAAAAAAAAGAAATAAAATAAAATGTAAAACAAGTAATTAAAAAAAATAAGACAAGCTTTTATAGCGCTTATACAATATATTAGTGTTTGGCGAATCTTCTCTCCTCCAGTTTGTGGCGTGAGCCTTGAAAGGAAGCGAGCTCCAGTTTTACGCCCACTCCGAACGGCGAGGTTTGCTATTGCCTGCCGAGGAGCGACCGCTGTTAGAAAAAAACTACTTTTTGTTTCTTTTTTTTTTTTGATGTTGTCTACTGTCTTTCAGTTGACTTACAAAGACTTTGCCAGAATTGCCCTGTAGGTTGAGCACATCGCATAATCAAAGACCTTCCCAAAAAAATGAATTATTACTAATCGCTTTAGCACATAAAATGGGAAAAAACGTTGAATATTAATGTTTTTAAAAGCCTCGAAAAGTCCGTAATTAAAAGCTAACTTATTCAACTAAGATTATAATTTAACCAGGATTACTTTAAAACTTAGTGTACTAGAAAACTTGAAGGAATCCATTTAAAAGTCTTAACAGAAATTTTCAAAACCTACGGTATAAATTTTATAAGTGTTAATATTTTTCTTTTTCTTTCCAGCTACATCAATTGCTACTTGCTTTCCGGCCAATACTTGGGTTGGAAATATACATGCCGGTATTATTTTAATGCAGCAACTGGACTGTGTCAGACCGAAAGGCCTGCAGATTGTTAACTCAATTATTTCTTATCTAAAAGTTTTATTTTAAAATATAATTTAAATAAATATTTATATATTAAGCTTAAGAAACAAAAATGTAGTTTGATTTGAATTTTAATGATCTACGATAATTGTTCGGGAAGACTTATGGAGCTGCGCAAATAGTTTAAGATACGCCATTACCACTGTGAACGCTTGTGGTAAAAAGGTTTCTACAGAAACTGCAAGCAGGAACAGCTACTGAAACAACCTGCGTTGTAAGCTAAAAAAATGCGGGTTGGCACAAATCTCATTTGCCTCACTGCAGTCTAGGAAGTCTACCCCGACCTGGGGCCACCTCACATCGTCGTACAACATAACAGGTTAAGTCATGGTAAGTGACTGGAGGAAGGAATTACAACCAGTATTATTATCAGAACAGAGATAACACGATCAAAAGAACATGGATCATGGAGCATTTTTTCAAGATCGCAAAGTGACCCGAGACCAGGCAGATTTATCAGAGAACACTAATGAGCAAATGAGTGGATGCTCAAAGTTCAGATTAGGAAAATTACATGGACTACGGAAGCAAAATAAATTATAGGAAATTAAAACTCGATTAGCTCAAGCGACTTCTGTTGCTCCTCCTACGATATGGTAGCGGAAATCCCACTGCCACACAATTGCGAGAGCTGTAGCTGGAAGCGCTGAGACCGAGTCTACGTGTTGATAAAACTCTAAACCGCTAGAAAACTCCGTTTAGGGCAGCCCTGAATTGGCAGGGAACTCAGATAAAGAGCGAAAACCGCCGGTCGTCGTGGAAACTCCATATACTTACATACATATCTATAGGACCAGGTGCAGGAGCCTCTAGCCATACTCTACGTACTATAAAAGCCCTGACTAGATGGGCTAGCTATTGCTTTAACTTTGACTAGTACTTCTGACCAAAATAAAAATCAAATCAAAATGAAATTTTTCAAACCAACGACTGCCAAAATCACTGCGCATTTTGTCGGAAATCGCTCTGATTGCACAAGCAATAAGTCATTTTGAACAGTAGTGAGAAGCAAAAATTGTATGGGTTTTGAACTTGGGACGCAAATTAGTTCCAAGTTAAATAAAGACAAAATACTCTTGTTGTTTAAAGCTTGCTATGTAATTTGACTTTATTATTTCTACCAAATATGTATGTAGTTTCATTCACCAAAAGATTTTAATGAATTTTAGTAAAAGAATTCATTGAACAAAGATTCCTTAGAACCAAAACTGTATCTAAGAGCTCGTAGGACAAGTGTATGTCTCGGAACACTTTCCCTCAGTCGGATCAAACCATTTACCACTACCACAAGTCCTACTAGATGCAATCCACACCGATCCCGGCTTTGAACAGACGATGTAACTGAAATGTGGAAAAAAACTCAACTTAATGAATAGCCAGATATATACATATGTATGTACTATATATGAAATTCCGTTGCTTACGATTTGCAAGTTGTATCATTCGGTTGTGCTATAGATGCCTGAACACCGTTAGCTTCACAAACTTGCGCGGGACTTAAGGTGGTCGTACTTGTTTCTTGCGCAGTTGTTGTTGATATTGTTGTTGTGTTTGTTTGTTGCGTAGGACACTCATAAGTTGTTGTACAAAAAGCAAAAGTTGGATCGAAATATTGATTACTGGGACATGTAGCTGCAGTGGCAATCCAGCTAGAACCTGACTTCGTACAAATTATGTATCTGAAATTGAAATGGCATATACATATGTACATATGTAAGTATGTATTTTAATTTTTAGAGAACAAATTATTTATCGCTATTATTTTACTCACTCTGTACAGGTTAGATCATCAGGATTTGCTATACTAGTTTCTTCGCCATTATTTTCACAAATTTCTGCGGGAGTTAGGGTGTGCTCGGTAGTCGTAGTTGTTGGTGTAGTTGTCGTTGGTGCAGGTGTTGTTGTGGTTGAAGTTGTCGTGGGCGTGGTCGTTGTTGGCGCAGTTGTTGTTGTTGGGGTAATTGTCGTTGGTGCAGGTGTTGTTGTTGACGTTGTGGTGGGCGTAGTCGTTGTTGTAGTTAAAGTTGTCGTCGACGCGGCCGTTGTTGGCGTAGTTGTTGTTGGTGTCGTTGTCGTTGGTGCAGGTGTAGTCGTTGTTGTAGTTGAAGTCGTCGTGGGCGTGGTCGTTGCTGGCGCAGTTGTTGTTGTTGGTGCAGGTGTTGTTGTTGGCGTTGTGGTGGGCGTAGTCGTTGTTGTAGTTGAAGTCGTCGTGGGCGAGGTTGTTGCTGGCGCAGTTGTTGTTGTTGTTGCAGTTGAAGTCGTCGTGGATGTGGTCGTTTCTGGCGTAATTGTTGTTGTTGGTGTAGTTGTCGCTGGTGCAGATGTTGTTGTTGACGTTGTGGTGGGCGTAGTCGTTGTTGTAATTGACGTTGTGGTAGGCGTAGTCGTTGTTGTAGTTAAAGTTGTGGTGGGCGTAGTCGTCGTTGGTGTTAATGTTGTTGTTGTTGCAGTGGTCGTCGACTCAGGTGTTGTTATAGTTGTTGTTGCTGCTGCTGCTGCTGTAGTCGTCGTGGGCGTGGTCGTTGGTGGTGTAGTTGTTGTTGTAGTAGTAGCTGTGGTTGTTGTGGTTTCTGTTGGCTCTTGAGTTGTTGCATCAGGTATTGTTCTCTCCAATGTAGTTGTTGTTGCTTGAGGTGTGGTGGTTGTTGTTGATTCCCTACAACTGGGCTGTGAAAGAATAAAAAAATCAGCTTAAAATTAATACCCAATTGTTTATTTAACCATTTTTTAATACTAACGATTTTTTAATGATATTCTTTTTGCATATAAGTTACAGTTAGTTTCGATTTCAGAATAAACAATTGGGGTATATTTTTTTCGGTATAGGACCACCCTGGGAGGTGAGACTTTAATTTTCCCATGCATTTTTAGACCACCCTAGTGTACATACATTTTTATATATCCTATATATTACACTTTTCGTTCTAAAATTTTTAATGCCTCACTTACCATTGCTTCGGTTTCATTTGAGCAAAATTTGCTGCCGCTATCCAAATCGCAAACAGTGCCTTCGGGACAATTATACAGCGATTCATAGTGGGGACTAT